ATAAAGTGCTATAATGTAACCTAAATATGACAATTTATTAGAAGAGAATAAATTATATTTTTATATAAAAAGATTTTACTTCTCAATACATTGAATAAAAAAGAATTTGATAACTTGTTTACCTATTATTAATTAAAGGAAATTATATAGAAATTAAAAAATATGCCTTACTTTGTTGTTTTAAATAAAACAACCAATGTTAGTGTATTGAAATTTGTTTGAATTTTACAAATTTTATGCTTGATTTCCAAAGTAGATATATCGATGGCTCAATCAAAAAACGCCACAAGTCAAAAAACAAAGCAATTACATTTTTGGTTCAATGGATGCAAAATATCATTACGGTTTTACTTTAAATACCACCACAAACAAAAATATCCTTAAAGATAAATCATTTAAAATGTAGCCACAAACTGTGTCTAAAACTGCCTCAATTCGAGTTATTTTCTTCAAAAACACCCAAATTTTTTACAACTATGCAACAACTCACTTTTATAATCGTAATCATTTTATTTAACAGCAAAATATCGAAGCTTTTAAATAAAATATAAAGAGTATGTCAAAAACAAAATAATGATAATAGAGACTTACAAAATTTCAAAATGAAATTTCTCGAAATAATATTAATTTAGTTGTGGCAGTATTTGATTGAGCCATCGATATGTAGATTTTATAAAAAACAACTGGTGTTTTTTAGCAAGATATTCTATTATACTTGAGAGTATCATCTATGATTTCTTTCAACTTTTCTGCTGGGTTTTCACTTGAAATGATGGTTGCATTTCCAGGCAATCTAGCCTGTTGAAGAAAATGAACTGCTTGAATTCTGATATACCTGACATATCATGTACCTATAGATTCACTTTTTATAAAACTTCAGGTGTTATATTCTTCTTTACACTTCTGTAGTATTTACTTTTGCTTCTAAAATTCCTAGAATGTCGAAGGAAACCTAAAAAATAATATTTTTAAAATGTATTTTTAGTTCGATAAAGTATAATTACCTTTTATAAGTATTTGGTGTAAAATGTTGCCGGACATTCGGTTAAATGTTTATCTTCTGGTTTACAACGATTGATCTGCAATTCTTTGTATTTATTGTAGTTTTTTTTTATTTGGTGTCATCGGCATCGACTGCTAAAGATACTTAATGAATGAAATAATAAATTTACATCAGGCATTGTAATCTGAAACAAAGACAATGGTTTAGAAAATATTTATCTATTTTATAGAGGACCCTTACCAAATCTATTCGAATGTATAAATAATAATTATTTATAAAATAAATTCTGGATGTCGAAAAATAAACCATTAAAAAAGACAATTGACAAGAAAAACTGACAAGTGACAATTGACATAAAACTAAACGTTCTGAAATCAGATTTGTAATGTTTACGGTAGGTTAACTGGGTAAATAACAAATAGAAGTTTTGCGAGGTTTTGATTTCCCTCAACAACTTCTCATGAACGTTGCATTTACGTTGTATAGTAATGTTATTACGTTCCCTTAATGCAACATCGCCGAAAGGCTTGGCAACGTTATGTGCTAGCTGGGACAGTACTTCTGGATATGTAATGTGTGGAAGGTGGGTTACCCCACGGCACTTAAGCCTCACTAGGACCTTTGTGTATCCTCCTAAGATAACAGGCACCTCCTAACTCGTGATCCAGCCTACAGATTTAATGTAGTTGACAAATTTGTCAAAAGGTGTTCTTCTCTTATATCGGCCGGTATTAGCCAATACTCGCCGAAAACAAATGTTCTAATAAATGAGTGCATCGGGCAGTCGTAAAGGATATGCTCAATGGTCTCATCTTCTTGTTCGCACCCCCTGCAGGGTGCGGATTCTGACAGCCCCATAATATGGAGATGCTTTTCCGTACTTGGCAATGACAAGTCAGAAATCAAATGCAGGCGCAGATTCTGTCTAGTCATAGTCAAGTATTTGTTTGCTATAGAGTTGTCAGGATAACTTAAAAGCTCACTGGCAACTCTGCAGTTTCTTGTTTCATCCCATCTTTCCTTGAATTTCACACGGAAATGCTCTTTAATTAGGTCTGTTACTACCGATGTCAGTCCAATAGAAGGGTTAGGTCCAAAAAGTATTTGGTTGGCTGCCTTCTTGGCTAGTGAATCAGCAAGAAGGTTACCTTTCGATGTGATCTTAGATAATTTCTTAAGGTGACCACGTTGTTAATGGATACTCCCGCCAAAGCTTTGACATTATAGTACTAACCCTGAGTAAATTTGTAGTCTGTTCGGGGTAAGTAGTACTTATCTGCTATCTGTATAGATGGGCATGTTTCTACCAGTGATATTGTTTCTGGTTATTTATTTTGCTGCTATGAGAATCCTGCGAGCTCGGGTTGAACTACATTGGTTTAAGGAATTGAAGTATATTCCACATTCCCCTTGTTTTGTTTTAGATCGTATATCAGGTTCTATTCCAACCTTTCAGAGGCTTGTCATCAGATCAACCTTCTTGATGTTGTAAATATCAAGGAGAGTGAAAGTAAGAACGACTTCCATGGCTCTGGTTGGTGTTGTTTTTATGGTTTCTGTTATGTTAAGACATGCTGTTATTTCAGTTTGTTCTACTTTGCGGATAGCTGTTAATTTTTGGATTTTCTATATCCAGACAACTGCATCGTATGTTAGCATAGGTCTTAAGATGGCCAAGTAAGTTCATGTGACGACTCTGGGCAGTGGCGTACTCAGGGGGGGGGGGGGGGGGGGGCAAAGGGGACAAAGGGGGCAATTGCCCCCCCCCCCCCCCCAGAAAAGCCAGGAAACATTAATTTGACACTATACATGGGTATATAAAGTGACCAGACTACTAGACGTCCTGCATTGCATTGAGCAGGACAGTCAAGTATTCATAGACTCTGTTCAGCGACTGTGGCGTTTCATTGAACCGAACATTTCGGTAGGCGCGTTAGGAGACAGGAGACCACCGAGGCGACCTCAAGGACGACAGATGTATGATGGTTATGCTCCGTACATTTGGGAAGCAAGGAGACAGGTAGCGCGACACCTGGGTAGCTATTCTTGAATTCGAGGGAGTAGAAAACCGGTTTCTCCTCTTTATCTGCAACGCCAAAAAATGCATTTTTGTCTCATTCTTCCCTCAAAATTTCTACTCCCTGAGATTCAAGAATAGATACCCTGAAGACACCCATTCGAGGGAACGATCCAGCGTTGCCAGACCTACTGTTTTTGTCCCTAGCAAATTTTGTTCTTTATTTATTAAGTTTGCCTCATTCTTCAGCAAATGGTCAAAGATAATTTTCTCTAGTAAATCTGCTGAAGTAAAAGCAGCGTAATAAGCATCCACTACTGTAGGTTGGCTCCATAAAAAAAAAACATCAAGATAATCATTATGTTTTTATTTAAAATGAAACAAAGAAATAGGGCATCATAAAAAGAACATGCATTCCAAACACAACGATTTTGAATTATCTGATTCAGACTGATCTAGGATCTAGAAGAAGTGGGTACCTATTATTTTTCATTGTTTTTTTTTGTTTCCGTACATTAAGTATATATTAAAAATGTTATTATTTGGTTTTATTCTTTGTTTACTTTCTGATTTGGGTATAAAAAATTTTATTTTTCGTTTCTTATATACTTGTTTTTTTTTATTTACTACACTGGAAATTATAATTATTTCCCCCTGTATTAAAATCTACTGTTCTACGATTTTTTTTTCGCCCATACTGTTCCAGCATCTGGCAACACTGCCTAGATCGAAAGAAATTTCCAACTACCAATTCTATAAAATATCGAATAATCACCTCCAAAAACAAGCAATGTCTGAGGACAGTGACCTCAAGTGCGACACGCAGCAAACGCTTTGCCCGGAGAACTATCCAAAGTGTCGTCAAGGAGTGTCGCGTCGTACGAAATGTGTTTCATATAATTGCATGTGTTTCAGACGTGAAGAGATCGTTCTCGGTCGCGTCTGTTGTCGTCTGTCGCGTCGGTTGTCGTCTGTCGCGCCTACCGAAATGGTACCTTAACTGGTCACTTTCGGTGAGCACAGGACCGGAGCGAGTGGAGGGGAGAATTTTGGAAAAAGGCATGTTCTTTTGTACATTTTAACGACTCTTGGGTAAAAATTCCCATTCAAGAGGGTGACGAAGCGTGATTTTTTAACGATTTTAACGGCTCCTGAGTAAAAATTGGGCGTGGCAAACCCAAAATTTTCTGCCTTCGGCGGTTAGCCTCCGGTAGCCCCTGCGCGGGGGCTATATTTTACCTTTACCATATCCTTCTGAAAAGGACCATTTATGTCTTCTTGGGATTGATAGAGACAGTGAATGGTCCTTGCACCACTGGTCCATAATTGTTCTCAAAATTCCCTATTTGTAGAATGACCAGGTCATCTGCTTATGCTTTGTGTACTGTCTGTGATAATTGTACCTACAGTACTTATTTCGTTGTTATTATTATAATCCATTTTACATAATGAACATAGTAAGTACGTGTTTAATTCTTATGAACCAAACGACAAAAATTGATTAATTTTCATACGTTTCCTAAAGTATTAAGTTCCCATGTTTTGGTACAAACGAAAAGTCATTTACTTTCGCTTCTTGGGTAGGTATTCTTTGACAAAAGATATTCTGTGGATATCTCTGGGATTTGGTGTGTTGTCTGGGTTGTGTGTATGGCAATATTGTCGAAATCGGTCTTAACATCGAGCGAGTTAAGTGTTTTAATTATAATTACTTGGTGAAAAGAAATATGTTTTATGGTGGTTTCAGGTCGGTTTCCCAGACACTTGTAGGAAATTTGGATCCCTTATGGACGTGGTTATAGATATTATTTATTAGGTGTCGTAAATAAGATTTAATTATCTGGGAGATTTTTTGTTAAATGAAGGATTTTGAATTTAATAAGAATGCAATATTATATTTAATAAATGGAATTAATAAATTATTAAGGTACCTGGATGCGGTAATTTACACTACCATTGATAAAAGAACAAAACTAAAACCTCATAGAATAAATATTTATTTAAAAAAATGTATAGGTACATAATTATAGAACAATCTAGTACATGTGTATACTTACTTAAAACAAAAATATATACGTATATAAAAAAATAATAAACTTTATTGTAGTTGTCTCTCAACAGAACACCACAAATTAAAATAACAAGGAACAATATGTTACACTTAGAAAAATAATTTACATTCGAACTTGGAATCTGCCTGCCTTAGTGATATATTTTACACCTTTAAATGGTTTGTATTTTTCTCCATACATATCTAATCTATTAACCTTAAGTCCACTTACTGCAAGCTGACTTATCGTAAAATGGACGTTAATGGATGGATTAATTTCAGCTGTATTTGAACCGGAGGCTAATGAAACCTACAAAAACAATAGAGAAATTAATAATTTCCTTTACATTAAGTATTAATGTTTAATAATAATATGTACAATTATAGGATTTAAGTCACATTTAAAACCTGTTAGTTGTGCAACATAAATTACATGACATATTTATAATAGAAAGCTTATTTTGTTTTTTTTTTATTGGTGTTCAAGAAGGTAAAACCTAAGTATTATGTATGAACATTTGATTTTAAAAGTTAATGGAAGGAAACATGAGCTATGAGCTAAGTGAAAGCTCTTATTAGATGTTTTAAAGTTAAAATGTTATTAGTTATAAAGTTGTTTTACTGTTTTTATCAATCAATTGAATTCAAACACCTGATAGGAGTTATTGTTGACCCCAAAAAATGTCATCCAACAAAATTTTAGTGATCAAACATGGCAGCTACTAAAAACTAGAGCATCCTGTACATATTTAGAAGGACTTAGTCTTAACCATATTAGAGATTTATCAAGAATAAACTAAAGGTTTAAAAATTCTGTTCAAACTGAACCATGGAAATAATCACTTAAGGTGATTACAGCACCCCCTTATAATTTTCGTACAAGGATATCTCAAAAAGTAATTTTTTTAAAAAATTAAAATTTTGGCAAAATATATTAGGTAATAATATCTAAAATATGCATATATGTTAAAATTTTAATTCCTTCCAGTTTCCGAGAAAAAAAAATCAAAGGGCTTTAAATTTTGAAATATCATAATGAAAATAAATGCATTCCTCAACAGCACTATTCTTAATTTAATCCCCAAATTTAAGCTCTTAATCTCTTGTTAATGATTTTTTAAAATTCGCCGAAATTAGTGGCTAAAACGCCTTGTTAAGTGCTATTTTCTGGTTTAAACTGGTGTAAATCATTGCAAGAAACGAATGATGACTCAGAGTGTACGATACGATAGTTACAGACGCGTTACACTAAAAAGAAGCACTTAACGAGGCGTTTTAGCCACTAATTTCGGCGAATTTTAAAAAAATCATTAACAAGAGATTAAGAGCTTAAATTTGGGGATTATATTAAGAACAGTGTTGTTGAGGAATGCATTTATTTTCATTATATTTCAAAATTTAAAGTCCTTTGATTTTTTTTCTCGGAAACTGGAAGATATTAAACTTTAAAAAATATGCATATTTTAGATATTATTGCCTAATTTATTTTGCCCAAATTTAAATTTTCTAAAAAAATTACTTTTTAAGATATCCTTGTCCGAAAATTATAAGGGGGTGCTGTAATCACCTTAATACTGAAGAGTAATCAGATAAATCCCTCAAACATAACTGTCTCTATAAAGCACAAAATCTGACTGAGTTTAGACACAAAATAATTCTCCAATTTAGAAATGCAATGAATGATGAAAAACTTACAGATCCCCTAATATTGGGCAGTTTGGTGACATCTATTTTTCCAATATCCCAGTGTAAGATTTTGGAAACCGGATCAAAATTGTATTTTCCTTGATTAGCAGTCAGCACACAGTTCAAAATACATTTAGGCATTAACACTTCCAATTTAACGCCTAAAACGATGTTGAAAAAATGAAAATTTGAAATACTATTACATTAACACAACAAACCTTCTACTGTTCTTCCCATTGTTTGTTTGGGACCTACAGTTAGATCCAGCCTAGCCTGTTCACCGGTTTTAATAGAAAGGTTGTGTCTAACATAAACTGGAATAGCTACGACACTTTGACTGCTGATATGGTAAGAAATCAGCCTAAAATTACCATCAGGAGGAATGAAGGATAGTAGCCTTTCAGCCTAAAAATTATATCAAATATAATGTCCAATTTTGTTATAAATAGGTCATAACTTACTTCCCAACGCTTAAATCTAACACAAGGATGAAAACTGACATCATCAAATAATCTGGGATTAACAAAAGATAATGTTAAATCTGGCATACCACTAAGTTTTATGCAACAGTCAATCTACAACAAAATAATTTATTATAACAGATTTGTTGTTATATTCAAATTAACTTACATAACCCTGTATCTCAGCAAATACAGTTGAGCCAGATTTATCAATAATGGCATCAACTTCTTCAATAACATCAAAGTATGCCTCGTTATTAGTATATTTAACACCTGATCTCCTCCAAGGGATATTAGATAGTTGACCAGTAGGTAAAATATCACTCACACTAAATGAAATAAAAATTATATTAAATATTCTTCTAGGAAATGCTACAGTACCTATACATACTTAGTTTTCCCTGTCACTGTATTAGCAATTGTTCTTAATATATTAGGTGGTTTAATCAGCTCTTTAAGAATATTACTTTCGGTAGCTAACGGGAAACCATTATCTAACATTTCATCTAAAAGCTAAAGCAAATTAAATTAAACATAACTTCTCACAATTAATCAATAATAAATACCTCATATACTACTACGTAATTTTCTTTAATTACAGACTCTGTGCAATCTGAAAAATAGTCCTGAAATGAAAAATAATTTGGATTATTGCTTAAACATTTTTTTTTAATAAACTTACTTGGAAAATATCTACTACTCGATGTAAAAATTCAATTACAAAAAGAGGAGGTATTTCCTCCATACAAACGGCCACAAAACTAACACCACCTCTTTGTATGGATATTAAATAATGATGGGGAGTTGCTATCACTGGATTAATATCACTTCCATTCGCTCTCTGAGATTCCAAATAGTAATCACATATTGATTTCGGAATTACACTTCTCCAGTGTTTTTCCAAAAAAACGTCACTGAAATATACAAAAATATTTAAAATAAATTATTGGTTGAATATTTAATAATTTACCCTTGCGAATTTATTATGAACAAGCTGTGAATCATTTTAAATATGTTAAAATTTTCATAAGAGGCGAAAAAGGAGGTTAGTTACTTTTGTTGTTATCTAAACGTCAAAAGTCAAAATATTATTGTCATGTCAATAATGTCATATATCGTTCAAATAAAATCGATTATTTCAATTAATAATATTTGTGCAGATTTGCAAAAAAAATAATAATATTACCACAGAATAATAACTATTAAAAAGTATTCTGTGATATTACTATCAATAAGTCCCCAGCGTACGTGAGATGTTAAAACAAATGTTATTTTCGAATATTATTTATTTAAAATTATAAATAAATTGTATTAAATCGATTCACTGGTTATTTTCTTTATAATCGATTATTTTCTTAGGGTGTATTTTATGGTAAATTTAGAAGAAAGTGTCCATAGATTTCAGAAACCGAGAGATATGAAAGTATTACATACATTTAAAATCATAATTTCTATTTGAATTCTAAAAATAAATTACAAGAAAAAACTTCCTAAAAACAACAAATAAACCATTTCTATTAATTATAAAGTTTAATTGACCCTTCTACATAGACAACCAGTATTACAGGTTCATTACTGCGCAGTCGCACGTATATTGACAATCCAAATATTCAAAATTCTAAATGTATTTTTATCATTTCGTAGATAAAGACTTACTAGATAAGAATATTTTTTCCGTCAAATCCAATACTCAAAGTTTGCAAAATTGTTTCTGTATCATTTACAGATGGACACAGAAAAATTAAATACAGATAATAAAAATAATAAGAAGACTGCATGAGTCATGCGCATTTTAAATTCACTCAGTTAGTTTGTTATCGGCCATGTTCATTGATATATCTAGGAAGTGTTGAAGAGAATTCGTTAATTTTTCAATAGTTTATGTGAAATTTCCGGCCTAAAAATGGCAGGGAACATGGGAATGGAGCAGCTTATTCCTATCGTGAATAAGTTGCAAGATGCTTTCACACAATTGGGAGTTCATATGACTTTGGATTTACCTCAGATCGCTGTGGTGGGCGGACAATCTGCAGGGAAAAGCTCTGTTTTGGAAAATTTCGTCGGAAGGTAATGCAAAATTGATCCTTTATTTACTCCTAGTCGATTTATAAGAACTAATTATGTATTGATTGCGTGGGAAGTGTATAAAATCAATTTTATATTTGACTTCTGACACAATGACCTGGGTATTGACCTGTCAAATTTACTACAAAAATTGATTTGGTTTTCTCATTTCGGGCCCCATTTATCTAAACATTGGCATTTGCTGTAAATATTCGTACATTATTAGCATATTTAACATTAGATGATCGGTATTCTAAAAATATGATTGATATGCATATTTCTTTTAAGATATGGCCAAAACTTAAAAATACTTTGTTGTTTCTTAATATACCTATTATATTGTATTTGTTTTTTAATCAAATTTGCACTACAGTTGAAATAGGTATGAACCCAAAGCCATATATCTCTTCTTTTTGGAAACACTATTTCATCTGTTTGGTCATTGATGGCTGGTTGAGTTTCCACCCACTTTTAAGAGGTGATCAAATGTCTAAAAACATTTCTGGGCCATATGGGCTCTTTATTGTGTCCTCCTGATAATTGTCAATTTTTTCCAAGTGGAAAAATGATCTGGAACTTGTATTTTCTAAATTTTCATCCTCCAGCCGATCTGAAACTAATTTTTTAAGAATTTTCTTGTGGATCTTTAGAATTGTTGAAGGGGTTATAAAATGTCAGAAGATAATTTCTAAGCATTCTATGCCCTTTATTGTGCCTTCCTGCCCTTTGACCCATTGAAGACCTCCGTGCAACAACCAGGCAACTCCAAATTTAACTAAAATCGAGATATATGCAATATACCAAATTAAACATTACATGTATTTTGGTATAAGAATCAGGCACATCCAATTCATCTCTATTGAGTTATCACAGAAAATGACTTGGCTGATTAACTATTTTGGTGCAAGATACAGACAGCTCCAGGAGTTACCCAATGATATGAGTGTAGTGGGAGATGGAGTAGGAACAATGGTCTACATGCACGGTATTTGGACAAAAGGAAAAAAGAAAGTCTACATGCTATCAGAATTGATCCTGTTAGTAGAAAAAAATTTAGGATTTGATCCTGAACTTTTCAAAACATTTTAAACACATATTTAAAATATTTAAAGGTGTACCTATTGAATTAAAAAAGTAAAAATTTGGCATATCATACAGGACCAATAAAGTAGGTACACAAAGAATTAAAACTTTATAGTGTTTTGTAAGGTCAGGTATATACTCTTTTATAAAATTTAACATGAAGAAAAGGAATATTTTACTCTATGCCAAATGCTTGAAACTTTTAGATATAAATTTAAAAAAGTATTAAAGATCTTAAAGGTCTAGCAGAAAATTAATTATGTAAGTACCATTAAATGAAGATTATTATAAAATGTATTGTTTGTTTTTATTTACTATAAATATATTTTGTAATCATTAAAACTTGTTTTTTGTGTCATCAGCATTAACTGCTATGGTTATTAGCCCCATGGTCTGTATCCGCTTTATTACTATTTCCTAGGGTTACTTTAGGAACAGCACTGTTAATTAGAACCCAACAGTGTATGGTCAAGTGGGAAATCCTACCTATGCATTAGAAATAATATTTAATTCATTAAATTAAATAAAAATCCTGTTACCAGCAGGATTTGAATGTGGGGCGTTTGGATCTCAAAGTCCTGACTCTAACCACTTAGACTCCCACCCCTTAAAAATTTAGGACAAGGAACAGGTTATATAACCATTTATTTTTTTATTACCAGAGTAATAACATATGGCTCTTTTATGGTAATTATAACTTTTTAAATATTATTCTAAAGGAAAAAATATACCCCACAATTATTTTAAATTAGCCAACAGTAGTAAGTTTCATCAATGTTTCAACATTTTATAAAAATGGAGTTGTCCCATTCTTGCTGTAAGTTGTTCAATTTTTCCCAGTCATATTTCTGTTAACTTTTTAAACTTGGCCTTGTAACACCTACGAAGGCTTTTCTTTGTAAAAATATTGGTTAATGCTATGATGCATGCAATTTTGAAAATTGACCTCAAAAAAATATTTTGGAATTTTTTTATACAAGGCTTGTCAAATTATTGCATTTTGTGAGGCTAGCCTCTTTAGTTGTAATCTCATTAATCTTGATAAATATAGAAAGTTATAGTTATTTTGATGATAACTTATCTGTATTTATAATTGAAGGGCTTGTTGTAAAAACATGATAAGCCACATTTTTTAAAATAAAGATATTTTTACTTCAAAACAATAAAAAATAATGTTACAAATGCTTGAACGAAATAGAAAATTTTCAAAAAATACCATAATTAGCCAAACAATCAAGTGATTGCATTTTAACAAAGTTGTAGTAATTATAGAAGTTTATTTTAATTTTTGAAGGCGTGTTTTCTTAATAAATTATTGTTGTGACTTATCATGTTATTCCAATAATCCCTTCAATTGTTTAGAAGTGCAATACATCTAAAATTTAATTATTACTGAAAAATCAGTAGACTTGTTAATATTATGTACAATTTTGCTTTCCCCAGCCTATAGACAATGAAGCAGTGGTTCATATTGTTGTTAACAACTACATTGAAATGTATGTATTTATCTATATCAAGAATACAATTTTAATTAATTTACACATTTAGCACTAAAAATTCATTGTTAAATTCAAAGTGTTGTACCTATATTTACAAACATGGATACTTTATGACCAAGCCTTGTTCTTAATTTAGTAAACCATCATAAACTTTAAACTCATGTTTGTGTAAAATGCTTGTGACAAATATGGAGGCGTTATTCTTTTTATTTTTTTCAAAAATGCTGATTAAAAGCTGGATAAGAAGTTTATTGCATTTGACTGATATTGTTATCTTTATTTCAGAGACTTCCTTCCTAGAGGATCTGGCATTGTTACTCGTAGACCTCTTATTCTGCAGCTAATAAATGCAATTTCTGGTAATTATTTAATGTTTTTATATTTCAAATTTGATGACTAGTAATTTTTTAAAAGAAAGATCAATCATAAATATGTCTTGTAGGTTTTTTTTAATACACTTGAAAGGTTGAATACATTGACCTTTCTATTAATTTATCATATTATCTACCTTGATTCTAAATATGTTTAAGCTTAATAACACATACCTTATATAAATATTAATTGTTTTAGTTTCAATTTCAATATATATGTGCATAATTTTAAAACCAGAAATAGATTTTTTAAATGGGCTAATTAATTATAGTTGTATTAAGCTGTTAAGATATTATAGATTTTTCACTTTCTCCTCTAAAAAAAATCTAATTGTATTTTGATTAAATTTTGCAGATTCGTTTATAGTACTAAGAAGATAATTTAAGCCTAATTACACTATAGTAGGAGAGCCTACTGCAAATTTTGGCTGTCATCTGATAACAAAATGAAGAATGTTCCAAAGTCATGTAACAACATTATACTTTACCAAATGGCACTTGTGCCAATCACTATCCTAAGCAAAGGGGAATAGTTTTTAATGTACCAAGTGAGCAAAGTGATTCTTTATGAACTAGTCTGGCATTATGAGCTGAGCAAACAGGTCGAGTGACAGGCTAGTTCGATAAAGTCACTTTGCTGACGTGGTCCATACAAACTTATAATTAATAAAAAAGGAGATATTATGACATAACATTTTTGTACGACAAAGTAAACAAACAGAAAAATAACAGCGAATACAAAACAAATCAGTTACAGACTATTTCTGTCAGACGGTCATGGCTATGTTGATAAGTATTTGCGGCAGATAAAATATTTGATGTTTACAGTGAGATATAAAGTGTTTGTTTACTTCCGCAAATTGCTATGGTAATGCATTGTGATATACTTGAATTATTATTACCTACCTTTTATGTGTGTCTTAAGAAAGATGGCATTGGATAAACCATTTTCCACAGCTAGTCAGTAATAAAAAACTCTTGCTAGACATTTCTTTTAAACTATAATCATAGTAGTTTTTTGTCATTACTATGACAACCTGTAAAAATGAAACTCAAAAATAACAAGTATTAAAAGTAATTTTAAAAAACTGACTTCAAATTCGTGCAGATTTATATGGGACCACCCCTGAGGTACCACCTTACTAACAAAAAAGAATCATAGAAATTGGACAAGGTGGTAAAGAATTATCGCTAAACATACATAAAAAATGAAGAGTTAGAGGATTTTTCTCATGGACCCAATTATTAGATTTTGACCAAATTTATAAAGGACCACCTCTGAGGTACCCCCTTACTAACAAAAAAAGAATCATAGAAATCGGACAAGGTGGTAAAGAATTATTGCTAAACATACATTAAAAATGAAGGGTTTGAGGATTTTCTAATGGACCCAATTATTAGATTTGGACCAAATTAATATGGGATCACCCCTGAAGTATTTTCTAACAAAAGAAGAATAATTGAAATCGGACACCGTGTTAAAGAATTAATGCTGAACATACATATAAAAAATAATATATATTACGATGAATTGAGAACCTCCTCCTTTTTTGAAGTCTGTTAAGAATACAAATAAATCCTCAAATCAGTAATAATTTATTTACATTGTTAATGGTTTTATTAATCATGGATAAGGGGACAAGGGGAAGTGTTTTCCTTTAACTACGTATTCAAGCCATGTTGGAATATGTTATTTTCTGGAAAACTTCTGAATATAACCATATAATCCTTGTATTGAATTCTATTTTCATTTGTATATTTTAATCACTATGCTCAGGATAGTGATTGGCAGAGGGACCGTTTGGTAAAGTACAATTTGTTTTGGGCATATTTCATTTCGTTATCAGATGATAGCCAAAATTTGCAGTGGGGGGGCTATTAGAAAAGCAATTTAGAGCACACATTTTTATGAAATTTTAGTTATAATAAGAATTATCTGCTACAATATTGACATAACATCTTTGATCACGTATTTGGGTAGATAATATGCCTTACTCATAGAAGTAGTGAGTTTAATGAGTATCTAAATGGGGAGAGCGGGAAGTTACAAGAAACAGTACAGTGATCAGTGCCGTACCATATGAAAGGGGTCATACAGGGTTACCAATAAAAACTACTAGGTCTGATATTTTGGAAAGGAATTAATATATTTTAATTCTGTAAAAGCCAGTTTTGTAGAACACTAAAAAAGCTTCAGTTTTAGATATAAATTGATTTGAAATAAGTCCATATGTAGATGGCGCTGCTCTAAAGATGTTTTTTTTTTTCGATGGTAGAGTCTTTCAAATGTAGCATATCTTGTAGAAAATGCATTTTAAGCAGTCCAATCATTGCTCTTTCCAAACAATTAAACACATATGTTTCTACTTTATTGGAAAACGATACTGCTTTTCCAATGGTACATCAATTGTATTATCACAACCTGGTTTTTTTTTTCAAGAATTAATATATTTCTTATTGCTTCCAAAATATCTGGCCTAGGAGTTTTTATTGGAACACCCTGCATATTGTTAATTACTATAAATTAATTTGTGAATTTAAATGTGAATAAAAAATTCTTTTACTCTTTAGATTTTTGTTAATAGTATTTTAATAGAATAAAATATTTTTTTAATGTGATAGATACATACAGGGTTGGGTAAAATTGGTGAAACACCCGATTGTGGATTTTACTGAAAATTTACTTAAATTTTTAATTCATTCTGTATCTTATTCCACAGCAATATTGTATTAAGGTATATTTGGTCCTACCGCCATATTTTGGTCCAAATAACCTGCCGTTAGCCAAAGGTCCCAATAGTTATGAATGAAAAAATAAAACCCTAGCACATTTGTTAGGCCTATGAGTCAAAGATTTTCGGAAAACTTTGCAGTTCCTTTACATTTTGCAATGTCCAATCACTTTTAAGAATATTTTTTTCTATTTAAATAAATAAAACGAAGAATTGCCACTAGAATAAAATACCTAACAACGCTTTTAAAAAACATGCACATACAGGGTTGCCAAAGTCAAATGTTCAGTTAAACTGATGTATCGCCTTGGACAAAGTCTAAAAGCATCTAAATTATTTGAGACATTTTATGAAAATGGAATACACTATCAGTATTTAAACAAAAAAGAGACTATGGCAACATGTAAAGTTTGTACTGTTTGTTATGGAATATGTTTGTGGACATTATTATTGTTAACAAGGCCTGTCTATCCTATATAGCAGGGGCAGAAGTTGGAAAGGCTTTTGGTAAATAGAGAGGGGGTAAACGTCAAACCACGTCAGACGGCTTTGAGGATTACGCAGCATTAATTACCTGCCAGTGTCCTGTCATACAATAAGTAATTTTAAATTGTTACCGGCGGAACCGGCCAATCACATGTATTTATGGACTATAAATAATTATTTAACATGTATTATAATATCCAAATCATAATTCTACGAAATTTCAATAACTATTCACAATTTATTAAACTATTTGCTCGAAATTGTTATTAACATCTATAAACTAATTTTGTATGCCAATGTATCGCGTCCACTTCATTTAGATCCGCTACAAACCTGTCAATTTATGCATATAAAGTTGGAGAACTGGCAAAAGCCCTTCCAACTTATGCCCCTGCTATACATACAGCATTTGTAGAAATTTGGCACATTTTTAACATAATAAAATGCAGGGCTGGTATATCTAAGGGGGTCGCGACATAGGAGTCCATTTTGGACGCCATTTTTTTCGAAATAGTTGTCGCCCATTGATCTGGCAACCTGTAGTCGAAAATAACATTTTCATTATAAAATGCCAATATTGTTTAGGATAAATTATTTCAATTTAATAAATTATTTATAATCTCACATGTACATAGAATACGTCGTGAAAAGTAGATCACTTTCAATTTTGTGCTGTTTTGGTTTGGTTTATTTTAAAAGGTAATTTAAGAGATGACAATTTTCTTATAGATGAGGATAAATAACAAATTATGGCTCCCTTTTTTAGAGCTCCGGTCCCCTAAGTCTATTTATTTTAGGTCTTTTTAAATTGTTGGTAGGTATTATTCACTTCATTTGTATGTTTTTATTTAATTTAAATAATTTTGTGTAATATCTTGCGATTTGTTTTCTATTCATTTTAGCATGTATTTTTTGGCTACATCTTACAAAGGATGGCTTTGAAATACCTTTACAACAGAGGTACTTTCCTAAAACTGTTTGAAATTTGAAACTGAATACAGTTCTTAGAGAAAATCTCCAGTAATAAATGTCTGTATGCAGAATAACAGTAGCATAGATTAACAAAGCTGACAAAAGAGTTGGACAGACCTTTGTCTAGCTTTTTTAATATTTCAGGACAATAGTGTTAACAGCAGACCACAACAAGAACAACCAAAGTTTAGTAATCAAGCAAAATATTTCAGTATATCCAGAATTATAAACGTATGAAAACTATAATAGGAAACATGTATGACTTTGAATAGGAAATTACCTAAATTAGCATATCTAGTGAATATTGTATTTAAAGAATATATTTTTAATCAAAACTTTTGTGCTTCTACTTCAATACTAACCATATAGAAATGCATATGCATTTTATAGTATTAAGCAAGATTCGGATCAAATGTACCCACAATTTATAAACATTATTAAACTAAAATAAAACATTTCAAATAACACCTGTTTTTTATTTAAATAAAACATGTTAAATACATGTTTTTATTAAATACATAAATTAGTCTCAACCACACATTTTTTTTTTGTTTTTACTTTTAGTTTAAAAGTGACTACTAATTCACAGTCTTTCAAGTTTATTATTTAAAGAGACCAGCTACTACAAAATATCCTATTGATGATAACTAATTTCTCTTTAATAATGGTTTTACGTTTATCAACATTTTACAGCACTGTTTATATGAAACATCTATTTAGCTCTTAATTAAATCACATTTAAATCAAGTAATTACATTTTCATATTCAACTTACGTACTCTTATTAGAACTTAGTCACTTTTTTTTTTAATTTGAATTTTTTGACTGTGGTAACCGAGTCCATTCACCAAACCACAAACTTAGTCACTTAAAAATGTTGAAAGAGGATGTCATAAAGGTAAAATTCCTTCTTCTATGATGTTTTCACTAGTAATACCACTAGAGGTCAAAAAATTTCCTGATATTAATTTGACCTCGCGTGGTATTCGGTAAGAAAATTCCACGCCGAATTATGGTTGAAAATTAAATATTTTTAAAATTTATTTTTCGTTTCTCAACAATGCAAATTATTTTCTCCAAGTCACCAGTGAAACATAAAAGGTGTTGTCGCCTTGATTGTTGAGTTGTCATGGTAACTAAGTGAGACCCTAACCTCGAATATAATTTCAGTTTTGAAGTTGTCAAGCGGCCCGACGTAAAAAAATGTTTCGCTGCAATTATTTAGGCCTTCAAATTGCTTATTTCTACTCATTGTAGTTGCATGGGAATACCATTTGAAAATAGAAAATAGTATATTCTTTAATTTTACGTAAGTTTTGAATAACTACAAAATTGTTTTTCTGCGTTTTTATTAACATGCGTTATGAGCGCTTTAAAATGGTATGAAATTCATAACCAGCGTCAGCAAGCATCAATCGTAGGAGGCTGTGACCATTGTATTTTGACAGTTCAAAACATTAAATAACTCGCGTTTTGTTGCGATAAAGAATATTGCACAGCAAGTAAAATTAACAAAATTACCTATTTGTTTAAAAATAAATCGATTTGAAAATCATACGCTATGCAAAATATGCGTGAAATTGTCTGATGTAATGATCAATCATTGCACCATGACTTACTTACTCGGATTAATAGAGGATTGTGGCTCCAACTTGAAAAACGAAAATTTGTTCCGAATTGTCCACGAATATTTGCACCTAAACTCCGCAAAATTCAAAGTACTGAATGGGAAAAAGGTGAATAAATTAGTGTCTAAATATTATATATATTTTATTAGACATAGACACATAATTCAAAGCATCCAAAGTCCTGCATTTTCGCCATTAAGAAGAAAAGAAGTGGCCGAAGAATATAGAAAACACCTTAGCATTGTAACTAAAATGTATCAAAACTAAACCTATTATGTGAACAAATAAAAACCAGTCTGTCAAAAATGGTCTGTTATTGTAAACGTCAAAAAATTTCCAGTATAATTCGCTGTTGGGTACCCCACGAGAAAAAAATGTCCACTAAAATACCTCCGTTGCCATGGTGATCTGTCAAAAACACGTATTTTGATTGGTTTAAAATTACAGGTGTGGAATTTTCCATGCAATTTTAGGTTGTAAACGTTTTGTCCAACACCTTCATTACAATTTATCCCAAGCAACACTATGAAAGATTTAAATCTTGGATTTACAGCATTCAGTTTTGAGATGAGTGCAGTCACAATGCAGTTTCAGAGATAATTTTCACATGAACACTTATTTACCACAGCAAAAACGCATGTACCTATTCATGTAACACTAAAATAAAATGAAAACAAATTGCATAATTTGGTTTTGGTATATAAAAAAGTACAAAATGTTTTTAGTTTTAATTCGACATTCGACTACGAGGAAAACAGTGGTTCATTCCACTTGTACCATATTGACATTATTATGCACGATGCACGTAAAAGTAGATCTGTCTGTTTTTATAATACTATTACGGCAGGACAAACGATAACCGTGGATTTCGCCAAACGAACATCAGAAAAGTGTTGCCAACTTAAGCTGACTACTATTTCCCCTCTACCCTCAGTCACCCCTCATCCATTTACTGGGTCTATGTCGCGACCCCCTTAGATATACCAGCCCTGATAAAATGTTAGTAGACATAAGATAAGTGGAGGTTGTGTAGTGAGTTATTTTGGATTCATGTGAATTTAATTCAGCTATGTCTTTTTCTATTTTATTGGGTTGTGAACTATTTTATGTTATTTTATTATTTTACCTTCTTAACAGAAAACATGAAACTATTTTTGTTTTTTTTTTTTAGAACATGCTGAATTTTTACATTGCAAAGGAAAGAAATTTGTGGATTTTAATGAGGTCAGGCAAGAAATTGAGGCAGAAACTGATCGGGTTACTGGAAGCAATAAGGGCATTTCTAACATTCCCATTAACTTAAGGGTATATTCCCCAAATGGTAAAATATATGTATATTTTTTATTTATACCAATGAATATTTTGGTATTAATTTTGAGACATTTTTTTGTGATTTGTCAGATCTTTATTTTGTATTTTTTTAATGTACCTACATTTTTGTTTTTCAAATGATAATAAATTAGCACTTTTCCCAATTTAATAATTAAAAAATATATATTTGCATGAAATATTTATACCAGAATATTATGGACTGATAAAAATATAAATTTCAATTTTATTGTCCTGAAATTATTAGATTTTGCGATGTATTTTTATATTTTTTTTACATTTTCATGAAATAATTCCTTTTTATTTTTTATTTCTTTTAATACAGTAAGAATTGCAACAATTATTATTTATTAAGTATTGAAACAAGAATATTGTTTATATTAGTAATTCATTTTGCTTACTATCAAATATTTTTTAGTGTTAAATTTGACATTGATCGATTTGCCTGGTTTAACGAAAGTTCCAATTGGGGACCAACCAGTGGATATTGAACAACAGATCAAATCAATGATCATGCAATTCATAAAAAGAGAATCCTGTCTCATTCTGGCAGTCACACCGGCCAACACAGATTTGGCCAATTCGGATGCCCTTAAGTTAGCCAAAGAAGTCGACGTTCAAGGTAAGTCGTTATCAAGAATAAAAAGGTATTGTTTTTAAACGAGCTTCATCGCAAAGTAACTTCTTTTATAAAAATATGTAACTTCAGTGTTTTAAATGTTCTCTAATTTTAAAGCCTTATATCTAGAGCCTGTGTATCAATAGGTCATTCCAGATGCAGACTTCACTTCATTAACTGTTTATTTAATGTTATTTTTTTTTTTGTTTATATTGATGAACAGAGCCCCAAATTATATAATTGTTGACGAAAAATTAGGGCGAAAACAGAGAAGATCGTAGATACCCAGATCAAAGATTAGAATACTTAAATTATGTAATATTTGATTGCATGCAGTGTGCTGAATCCACACCTGTTATTAACTTAAACTTAAAAGGTATTTGGATGTCTGCTCTGTTACGAGACTTGAAAGCTCACTTTCCAGAAATCTGGGAATATGCCTTATTAAATATAATGTGAAATGAAGAGAACAAAACTACAAAATCTGAGAACAGAAGGGGGGATACCATCAGGTCCTGGTCCCTTGGTAATGTCAATACTAGCCATCTCTTCATAAATGGTTGATATAGGAATAACATACTCAGATTAAGTGACTGTTTACTTTGAGGATCAATATTCTTATCAGTATATACTGACTGGAAGTATTCTGCATAAAGATCAGGCAAATCTGGTTCAAAGTGACATTGACTATCATTAAAGAATAGCAATGGTGGTAAATCATTCCCGTTCCGCTTACTCTTAACAAAATTCCAAAACTTTTATATTTCTATGGTCTGTTAAAAAAGACTCAGAATTTACAATAAGTACCTTTTTGATAAAGTTTTACAATCAAAACGTAATTTACTATAGTTAACATAATCGCTTTGTAATCCTGAACTTTTAAATTTTTTGTGAGCTTGTTTTTTAAATATTGTCTGCTGCTTTAACTCTGGGAAGAACTGTAATGGAAATTTTCTTTTGGATGCCTTTTTCTGTGGAATTATAGCATGGATAAAAAATAGAGAATATCATAAAAAAATATTAACCATATCATTCGCTGAGTGATGTAATAATAAGTCATCCCAATTTACCTGGCCTAAACAATCGTCCAACAGAGATAAATCAGCCGACCTAAAATCGTAATAAAAATGTCTTTCTGGGGACCGCTCACATTAGAATGATTCAAAGAGTTCACAATCTGGAAGTTCAAAGCAGGATGATAACCATCAGCTGGAACCAATTCTTCATAGCTCAAGGTCACTACAGTGTTTCCATCTGTAGATTATATAAAATCTAGTATTCTGCCAGTGTTATTAGGAACTTTATTCACCTGATATAAATTGTGAAATGCACAGGTATCACCCATTTATGTAGTCAGTGTAATATTAAATAAAATTAACCAGACATTGATATCAAATACTTTTTAGGGTGCAGGCATTTAAAATGGGTTCAAATATACCTGACCACACGGTATTATCAAAGTTTTCCCAAATTATTGAACCTTATAGTTAAAAAAATATATATTTTCCACATGAATATAATTTTAGATTGAATTTAGAACGATATAAATGTTATTTAGGTATAAGAACAATTGGTGTTATAACAAAACTTGATCTTATGGACGAAGGTACAGATGCTCGTGATATATTAGAAAATAAATTATTACCTCTTAGGAGAGGCTATATCGGTGTCGTAAACCGTTCACAAAAAGACATTGAAGGAAGAAAAGACATAAACGCTGCCTTGGCAGCAGAAAGAAAATTCTTCTTAAGGTCAGTTTACGAGTTTTAATTAATTACTGTAATTACATTTTATTTTATTATTCTTTTAGCCACCCATCGTATAGACACTTGGCAGATCGCCTGGGAACCCCATATCTACAGAGGGTTTTGAATCAGCAGCTAACTAACCACATACGGGACACTTTGCCTAGTTTAAGAGATAAATTACAAAAGCAGTACTTGCAATTGGAGAAAGATGTGGATCAGTTTAAACATTTTAGACCTGACGATCCTTCTATTAAAACCAAAGCGATGTTACAGTAAGTAATAAACGACTTACTATGTTTCCCCTTATTAGAGTGTTCCATTAGAGGAAAGTACAGCTGCATCACAGCTGTATGCATCAAAGTGTTGTCATAGTCATCGCCATATTGTAAATGTGAAATGGTTTCATATTTTTTAAGATTGACAAAAATTTAGTTGGTAGAATAGTTAATATAAATTACGCCATCGTACTCAATTCCAACCACTCACATATGGCTACCCTCGCTCCTAAAGATAAATATAGTTAATATAGATAATATAGTTATCATCCTGAATAGAGTGTAGAAAACGTACTTACAGGGAGTTACTGTTGATATTTCAACTTATTAGTGGCTTACAGTCAAGTTTGTGAAAGAAAGTGATGCATTTACTCCAGTGAAAGCCAAGACTCGACTGTTGGAATAGTTTCGAACTATATTGTGACACGTCAAGCGTTCCCTCCAATTCGTTTTCGAACCTCGTGCAGTGTTTCCCACTTGGACGCATTGTGGGTGGAGTTGTCGCATTATTTCCCGAATCTACTCTAGCTGGCAAGAATATTTCAACCGTTTTTTTAACGTATAAAGTATTTTGCTCATTGCACAATCAATGCTGCTTACTACTGCGAGGTGTTGATCCCTACTGTAGCTGTAATGGTTTCATAACTGAAAGAAATGCATTGGACTCTCCTTGATCATCCTCCCTACACCCAGAACCTATCGTCCTGCGATTTTCATTTGTTTGGACAGCTTAAAGGAACAAAATTAAGTTGTTTTTATTACGAAAAACAAAATTCACAGTTATCAAATTTCATGAAAGATAAATAGGGTGCGCATAAAATTGCTATAAAATAGGTAGATACCTACCTATGTCACATAATAAAATACAAAATACGAGCACGAAATTATGAAATGAGGTCTATTTTAAATGTTCCTAAGTTCAGCTCCGAAAATTCACGTCGAAAAAATTAATAGGTACCGATTTCGCTTGAATAGTGGAGAAAAAGACATTCTTCGAGCAAAAATCAAGGGCGCTAATGGCTTTCATAAAATTGCTCTTTTCGACAAGGCTTTGCGTTGCATAATGAGTTCATTATGAAACCAAAATCCTAAACCCCATTTATAAACAAATCATTCTCTATTCTAAAAAGTGCAGATAGAAAGAAAGAATGCCACTTTTGGCAACGTTGTAATTTCATGTGTTGTCAATGATTAGCAATCCGGATCTTTTTAAAGATCTGGGTCAACGAATCTGGCTCAGTTGAGCCGGATTTCGGTTGACATAATTTATAGTAACATAAAATATGTTCCAAGCTGAAAATTGACTAAGTAACTAAGCCTGTATTAGTATTTGAAATGTTTTTTACGTATTATTCAATTTTTTTTTTGTTTCTGCATCTATAAAAGAGATTTTTGAATGATTTCAATTCTTCCCTTTAGAGACAACTAAAAACAATTACTTGCATACAAACGAAATATCTACTAAATAAGAAGTATATTCAAGGCGAAAATTGCACAATAAATTATTGTGATATTCCCTACTGCTTACTGATCTTAAATTTAATTTTGTCAATAAATAGTAATTGAATCTCGGATCCGTGATCCGCACTGTAATATTTTGACAGTCGGGTCAGTCATCAAAGTAAGTGATCTGTCTGTGTTTGTCATTGCGAATGCGAATTAAATAACAAATATATTGTATACGCCTATAAGACATTTTCAATTGTGTGTTTATTAGTAAATTGTGCGAGAATAATCACTGTGACTTTAATAAATCGAAAATGTGTCAATTCTATGTCAAGCAAAGAAGTGGATTATTTGATTAATTTATAATTTTGTCAATCATCACGACCGAAAATGCTATGTCTAGATGTTATCCGAGAATTGGTAGACTATGCAACCACAAATGCACAGAGATGTATTTCAAGCTGCCTAACAATTTCTTTAAAGGGGGGATTATGGCGAAGACGTAAGGGACGTGGATTTCGAGGTTATGTATGAAATTTATCGAGCTGATGGGTATAGAACCCTCTTAAAATTAATCAAATTTAAACTCAAAATTAAAAATAATTTTCAAAACTTGAAGTTTTGACATTAGGGCTAAATGTTAATAAAAATGCTGAATTCATTACAACTATTATACTCTGAATAGCTCTATCACTTCTTCCTCCATTTTCTCTCCCATATTTCTTCTTTCCTTTCTTCTTTTTTAGTACATTATTTTCTTTCTGCTCCCATCATCATGATCTGTATCTGCAACGTGTGGAGGATGGGTTAACCCACAGCACTTAGACCTCACTAGGCCCATTGTGCATCCTCCCAAGTTGATAGGAACCTCCTAGCTCGTGAGCCAGCCTACAGAGCTTTGATCTCATCTTCTTGTTCCCATACCCTGCAGAGTGCGAATTGTGATAGCCTCGTGTAATTGAGATGCTTAGTACGTGGCAATAACCAGTCAGAATGCCTGTGATTAGGCGCCGATTCTGTCCAGTCATAGTCAAGTATTCGTTTCAAAATAACTTAAAAGCTCTCTGGCAACCTTGCAGCTTCTTATTTCATCCCATCTTTCCTTAAATTTCACAAGGGAATGTTTTTTAATTAGGTTTGTCACTATCGATGTTGTCAGTCCAATATAAGGGCCAGGTCCAAAAAGTATTAGGTTGGCCGCCTTCTTGGCTAGTATATCAGGAAGACGGTTATCTTTCAATGGGGCGTGACCTTAGATCCATCTTAAAACGATGTCAGGCTAATTGATCGGTATGTTTTATGGGACAGTGTAATCCTTCCAGGTTTGGATATGAAGACTACTTTTACATTTCTCCATTTTTTTGGGGATATACCTCAGAGCCAACTAGGAGCTGAATATACCTACCAGGTGCTGAGTTCTTTGTTCAGGGTTTTAAACACCAGTGAAGGGGGACTTGAAGCTATCGTTTGTCTACTGATAAAAAATTATTATTAAAAACTTAAATTTTTGAAATTAACGCTAAATGGTCACTCCTTTCACTTATTATTTCACTTTTCTGTCTTCCTTTTTACCACATCATTTTCTTTCTGCTTCCATGATATTTGTTCATCTATTTCTTTATTATTTTTGATTATTAACATAAATATCCCATATCCCAAAAAACGCGACATTAAACTTACAAATTGGATGTTTTTAAGGATGATTCAACAGTTGCAAGTGGACTTCGACAGAACCATCGAAGGTTCCGGTTCTGCTCAAATCAATACGATGGAATTATCGGGCGGTGCTAAAATTAACAGATTATTTCACGAAAGGTTTCCATTCGAAATCGTCAAAATGGAATTCGACGAGAAAGAGTTGCGTAGAGAGATTGCGTTTGCTATTAGAAATATTCATGGTATTAGAGTAAGTTGGTTTTTGGAATTAATAAAAGGGATTTTTGTACTGATGTGTTATGTTTTCAGGTTGGTTTATTCACACCAGATATGGCCTTCGAGGCTATAGTTAAAAAACAAATATCTAGATTAAAAGAGCCGTCGTTGAAATGTACAGATTTGGTTGTACAAGAATTATCGAATGTTGTAAGAATGTGTACAGATAGAGTAAGTAACTAATAGGATATTTTTTAATTATAAAAAAAAAATGTTTGCTGGTTCGACTTTTTTAATATAGATAATATTTTTAGTTATTCATATTATTTGTGCTCCAAATGTATTTCCTAATGTTTATCTTTATTAATGAGTTGGATATTTTCGTTTTTCAGATGAGCCGTTATCCCCGTTTACGCGAAGAAGTTGAAAGAATAGTAACGACACACATTAGGAGTAGGGAACAGCATTGTAAAGAACAGTTGTGTTTGCTTATAGACTGCGAACTGGCATACATGAACACCAACCACGAAGATTTCATCGGATTCGCCAAGTAAACGTCAATCACTTATTTGCGAGAATACCGACACAAAACAAAATTTTAACTAAAAATCCATTAAAAATTTGGTGGTCATAAAGTTTAAATTGTTACCACAATTTTTAAACTTATCTCAAATTGTATTTTTTGAGTTGCGCCGGTAATCTCGAACGAAATGCCTAATCGCTGTAAACTGTTTATTATCATTTTTATTTTTTTAGCGCCCAAAGTCAGTGCGAAAGCGCGGCAGCTAAAGGAACCCGCGGTACCCTCGGCAACCAGGTCATTCGCAAGGGTTACATGTGCATCCACAATTTGGGCATAATGAAGGGCGGTTCCAGAGATTATTGGTTCGTTTTGACGTCGGAGAGCATTTCTTGGTACAAGGACGAAGAGGAGCGCGAGAAAAAGTACATGCTGCCTTTGGACGGGTTGAAATTGCGGGATATCGAGCAAGGTTTTATGTCTAGGCGGCACATGTTTGCACTTTTTAATCCCGATGGTAGGAATGTATATAAGGTAAGGTATTTACTGCTACTATTAATTATGGAAATTATTTCCTGAACAATTTTTTATATTATGAAAAGGATTTCTGTAAAAAATAACAGAAATCCGCAACTTAAAAATATTTTTTGGATATTATATATATAAAACGGCTATCCTCACGGTATTCCAAATAAAAGTTAATTACCAGTATAATCAACGTGCCTGAATGAATTACAAAGTCAACATGTTGAATACAACTAATGTCATCCTAACATCCTGAATATTTCACTCGGCATTATTATCGAAAACAATATTTATTTTCCTCGTGATAAATAGAAACAGTCAAGCGGTGTTAGCCCAGTGATTATGGTCGGATTTTCGAAAAAGTTAAGTTCGATAAAATTCACCTATTTTGTCTGTCCCTGATTAAAAGATTGTTTTCAAAGTAGAGAATTACACTAATTTCACTAATTGCCGGAGTAGCAAAGGATCTATTGACTCGGGGAACCTTGGATGGTGAGAAATTAAGTCGGCTATAACAATCTGAAAAAACTGTATTCCAAATAAAGTTGGGAACTTAATGATTAGAGAGTTGAAGTGTTTCCAGTACATTAACGTAAACGTGAACGTCAACGCAGAAAAATAATGTCCAAAATATGAGTTAAAATTTGTTAAACGCATCGTGACATTTACGTACCATGACAGATAATGACAATTAATATTAGGATTTCTTCTTTTCCAATTAAAAAGAGGTTTTTTGTTTGCGTTAAGTACATACGCCACAGCCCGTAAGCTTACGTATTTACGTAGACGTGAACGTAAAGGATATTTGAATACGCATGCGCAGATGTCAGTTTTCACGTAAACATAGCATCACTTCAACTTTAAAATGTTCCATATTTCAAACCAGACTGCAATAACACTTGACTTGTCTCTCTTACGAAAATTCAGAACCCATAATACGGTCCAAAAATGCGGAACTATTAAATACTAATTAACTCGGATTATTGCAAATCATAAGTACATTAAAATAAATCTTAATAGAAAGATTACTAGTGAAAGATTCCTACCTTACTTCTCCACAGGTTAACACAGACTGCAACAATAAAAAACGACGGTATTACTTCGGCACTGGACAAAGAGAAATAATTCTCGGAGAACCCGGCTTTATACTTTACGTTCGGACTAGTTCGGTTTCGGAGTGGTTCGGAATGGGAGTAGTCAATATTTACAAATCTAAGGACTGTGAAAAATGTCCTTTTGACATTTGCGAAAATGACCGGATAATTATCTAAATTTGAGCGTTCAAAGTTTGATTTGAATTTCACTAAAGAATGATATATTTTGAACTACCGGGGCTCTCATAAATGTTCAAAAACGGGAATTTTAAGAAACAAAATTACGAGGGTTCTTGAGAACACTAACAGATGGAAATTAACTTGTAAACATTTTTATAATTAAACTAAAGAAAATTTAGAGGCTTCGTCACAATAGATACAATATATTAAAAGAACAATTAATTTTTTTTAACATAAAATTTAGAATTGATGGTAGTGTTTAGATCTCGACAATCGCTTAGTGCTTTGTTTGGAACTACTTGCATCTTTTAAGAGGCTACGCAACGTTATTGATTGCTTTTGAAGCTGGGTTTGCTTCTCCAACCTCTTTTTTTTATATTGACTACCAGTCTTTTTCTTCCGCCAGACATTCTAAAACAGTTTATTAAAATTAATAGTTATTTTTAAAAAATGAATTCTTGTAAGTTTACAAATACCACAAGCAATTATTCAGATATTTCTAGTGTACCTGCTTAAAATTTACACAGGAACTTGGTTTTAATGTATGAAATTCAGTAACCTTTCTTATAGCTCTGTCCACTTGTATTCTTACAGATATACTTTTACTTAATTATACATTTTCTAGAGACCTTTTTTCGTTCTGTAAAAGAGTACGTGGCCTTATTAAAATGTATTCCATGTTTTTAAGTAAAGGCTGAATATTCTTGAGCCTCTATCTGGTATCTAAAAGAAAAACATCGTTACTACAATGGTAAATACTTGAAGTCTAATACATTGCAATCAAACATTTTCATTTGAATAAACCAGAAACACCTTCTAAATGGTCCTTACAACAAAATAATTTCCTCTTGTTTGAAGCGGTTTCGCGTGTTCTGTGTCCCACCATTATTTTCTTTTTTCTAGATTTCCAGGGTCATTAACAAATATTTTTGATGATAAATTTGAATCATTTTCACATCTTGGGACTTTATAAACACTTTTTCGTAATCATAATAATTATAAAATATCGGTTTTTTGCCCAGAACTTACCCCAAAATAGAAATTTTAATATCAGGTAACTCCTAAGCACTTACATTTTAACAATTTAAAATTAAAACCAGTGGCAGCTCGTGGCTCGCGGCTGAGTATAAGGGCACCAAAGAATCAATACCAAAAATCATTTAAACTTAAGCGGCTGAATACGAGGCTTTTTAATTCCGTTACTTTCATGATAAAATAATTATTATGAAGATAAATAAACAACACGACACTAGATCAACATAGCAAAACAAACCACAAAGCGATAGCCAGGTGAGATGAGGGCTGACTAAGCTGCGCCCGCCAGCCAACACATGTATCTAAAATGCATAATTTCTTCCCAGTACTCTACAATCTACACGTTGACGTCGGTAATCCAGCGTTTCGTTATTTATTTATTTATTTATTTATTTATCCTAACAGGCCTATTGGCCTAATTACAAGGATAATTACTATTAAATAATTACAATATACGTGCCTACCACAATTTACATAATTTTGATACCAGAACACCATGAGAACAAATAACATTACTTGCTTAAATGGACATGTTTGTAATTGGTTTAATAATATTTTTTTTAAATGTATTATATTTCTCATACCAGTCTATATCTTCTAAATTGTTTATACCATTGGCTAAGCGAAGAATGATCAGGAGGGGAGCTCTGGATGTAATCGTGGCAAAAGGAACAATAAACATATTTGAGTTACGCATGGGACGTGATGGAACACAAAATGGTATTAGGGCTAACAGATCTGAAGAACATATTTGATTATTGATTATTTTATACAAAAATAAGGTGCATGTGATTTTGCGTCTAGTCTCAAGAGAAGGTAATTTAAAATCTATTCTTAATTGTGATGTTCTAACAACATTGTAATCAGGTCTAATATGAAACTTTTTGAAGTAAAGATATCTTAAAAATTTATTTTGTATTTTCTCTAATTCTTGTAAAATGATTTGGTATTCTCCAAGCCATATAATTGAAGCAAACTCTAATTTTGAACGGATTAACGAAATATATAAAATTATTAACAAATTAATATCAGAAAATGGCTGCGTTTGTCTCATTAAAAATCCCAGAGCACGATTTGCTGCTTTACAAGTATTCTCAATATGCGTAGAGAATGATAATTTAGAATTGAATGTTACCCCCAAATCTTTAACTTGAAAGCACTTTCTTAATGACACACTTTCCATTTGATAGTCAAATATAATCGGTTGCTTTTGCCGGGTAATAGTCATATAATAACATTTGCTGATGTTAAATTCCAATTTACATTTTTGACTCCATTCGTATATAGCATTTATATCTTTTTGCAAAGAAACGCAATCGCGTACTGTTTGAATTTGTTTATAAATTTTAAAATCATCAGCAAAAAGTAAGCATCTCGAGTATTTAATCACTTTTGGCAGATCATTGACAAATAACAGAAACAATAATGGACCTAAATTGGAACCTTGCGGCACTCCGGAAACAGCACGGAATCTGCTAGAAGTATTACCATTATGTCTTACTAAAAAGTATCTATCTTTTAAGTAATCCCTGATAAGCATTAATACATTACTTGTCAATCCAAATTGACTGATCTTTTCTAACAAAATATCATGATCTACCCGATCAAAAGCCTTACTAAAATCTGTAAAAATTGTATCTAGCTGAAGTCTTTTTTCTAATGTATTATTCGCATAATTTGTAAAAATAAATAAATTAGAATTAATTGATCTACCAGCCACAAATCCATGCTGCTCCTCAGCAATGCTATTTGTCACGAAATTATATAATTTGTTATAAATTATTTGCTCGAATAATTTAGAAGGAGCACACATAACAGAAACCGATCTATAATTTTCAATATTCCTTGTACTACCTGATTTATGTATTGGGGTACAAATAGCCGTTTTCCACAGATCAGGGAAAGTAGAAAATTTCAGAATAAGATTGAATATATGAAGCATTGGCAATTTTAAACCCTCATGACAACCTTTTAAGATATATGGTGGTATACCATCTGTGCCTGCAGCCTTTTTTGGTTTCAATTTTTTGACAGCTGCTAGATAATCATCATCATTTATTAAATTTAGTGTAAAACTATCATTTTTCCAAAGATTGGAGTTTTGTTCATTTAAAATATATGTAGACTGATTTGATGAATATGTAGTAGCAAAATATTCCGCAAAAAACTTAGCAGTTTGCTGTGGAAGAATTTCTTTATCATTAAAAATAAAATTACCACTGTTCACACTCCCACTTCTTTTTTTATTAACATAAGTCCAAAAATTATTTATGTCTGCTTTCGAATCTTCCTGTATATTTTTAATGTATTTTTTATACTCGGATCTAATTAGTGATTTTAATTTTCTTCTTGTGTCCATGTATTGCTGTTTATAAAAATCAGAAATATGTTTCATGTGATTAAATTTGGTTTTTTCCTTTATAAGTTGTTTAATTTCCCTATTATACCATATTGGATACTTATTATACTGTTTATGTAGCCTGAATGTTGGTACACACTTAGAAAAAATATTGTTTAAAGTACTATAAAATTTATTTAATGCATCATTGACATTGGGTTCTGCACAAACATCACCCCAATCAGTATCGTTAATATACTCGTATAAAAGAATAAAATTTGCCTTTTTAAAATTATATGGAAATTTTTTGTTTTCATCAATCTCACAGTTACGTGATACAGATCTTTGACCTGGATTAATAG